TCTCTGTTAAAGTTAGTGATCTGTGCATTAATGAAATTAACAGGCTGAGAAGTAAATTTCAAAAAGACTTACCTCAAATCAAGAAAAGTAAAGGAAAGAAGAGAAAGATTCAAGTGACTGGTATAATTGATGATGGTGAACCTTGTAGTAAAAATGCCAAGGTGTCTGTAAGTCATGTACAAAGTACTAGTAACAGTACCGTTAGTAGCAAGAAACATAAGAGTACTGATTTACAAAAATCTAATCACCCCTAAAAGAGTAAAATATATGATGATAATGCTTTAAATAAGTCTTGCACCAAAAAAAAGAAAAGTTAATGTAGAGAGTAGTACTGACAATAGTGCTTTGGTATTGCCTCACCCAAAAAAGATGATAAATTAATTGTTTCAATTAATTTGAAAGACCTAACAACCAAATTTAATGTCAAAGATGAGGATAGTAGTAGTAGTCTCATTGTAACTATAAAACTCTCAAACATTAAATGTAAACCAAAAGATGATAAAACCAAGTGTGTTGTAAAAAATGACCATTGTAGTAGTGGTCTGATTGTATCTATAAAATTCTCAAGCATTAAATTAAAGACAAGTAATCCAAAAAAAAGATGATGTCATTTTTACTTATGAAGAGCCTCCCAATCCAGATAATGTAAGGAGACAAACGGATTATGTTTATTTCCCTGCTAATGAAGAAGTTCAAAGAAGGTGGTGTGAGATATTGAACCTTAAGTTTGTAACAGCTGCTAGAATCTTACCTGGCAGTCCAAAAACACCATTGTCAGATGAAAGAGTTCCTAATAGTACTCTTGATGTCCCTGGTGATGGGAACTGTTTATTTTATGCCCTTTCATATCTCATTACTGGGTCCATTTCTCAGCATTATGAATTACGTAGAGCAATTGTTAGTAACATGCCAAACATTGAAGAAGAATTGTTTAATAGTACATTAAGTGCAACCACATATTCAAGCATATATGATTACATAAATAAGTCAAAAATGTATAGAAATTATGTGTGGGCTACTGACACAGAGATTATTACACTAACAGCCTTATTAGGTATAAACATATATTCATATTCACTCCTACTTTTGTTGGCTGGGCTAGATATGGAACCCAGGAGTTGTATGGCATTCCTTGTGATACTACTACACCTGCTTTGTATTTGAAGCATGTTGGTACTAATCATTTCCAAGCAGTTAAGTCTATTAATATTTCTTAAAGCATTGATTGTTGATGGAAAGTGGGTATGGTGAATGGGAGGTCCATTATCTTTAAAACATTGGTTGTTTAATGTGACTTTTATTTCACTGCATGTGCAATGTGAGTGTGTGTGACAACCAGGTGCATATCCACCCATTATTGCTCAGTATAAAGTGATCAAACTACATTCAGGATGTGAGAGTAATCAATGTATAACAGTGAATATTGATTACTTGTTGCTATAATGGATAGGGAGAGGGTGTGAAAGAGGTTTACTGTTCATTAGAGTTTAGTATTGATTCAATTTTGTGTGACTATCATTTATGTAGGACAGAGGGTTAGGAAGGAGGAAGCTGTCATTATCAATTCCCGATCTTGTTTGTGGCTTGTACTACATGTTTATAACAAATATCAGGTGCTTATGGATCAACGGCGCTGCTGAAAAAATTTGAAGGACAAGAAAAATTTAGAGTAACAATAAAAGTTCTCATTATACATGTAGTATCATTCAAACAGTGATTTGGTACATATATTAATGATCATCATACATGTCAATGCTGCCTTCAATGGTGTGTGCATTACATATATGTAAATGCTTGCCAGCTGATGTTGCGCATAATTCTGCCATCAATGCTGTGCACATTATTAAGTTAATGCTTGCCAGCTGATGTTCCGCATTTGAATGATGCTGCCATCAATGCTGTGCGCATATTAAATGCTTGCCAGCTGATGTTGCGCATCTTTTGTTGATGATTGTTGTAAATATGTGCATGTTCACATTAAAAAATATTGTTTGCACATTGGAAACTCTTCATGTGCACAATGTTATTTCATATTAAGCAGGTCATGAAAGTATTTTAAATGAGAATATCATTAGTAAGCAATATTATGTCTAAAATACATGCCATGTATGATCCAATCAGAAACATTGTAGATGCTACCATTATCATTATTAGTTAGTATGTCACATACATACTTTTTATAGGTACTTATGTACTTGGCACAAGGACTACAATGTGGTGTTAAAGAGTGAGGCTTGATGCAATTGGTAAGTGCTATTGTTATTATTACCTGTGAGTTTACATTGCTTGCTTTTGATATGTTTCTATTACTATGCTTTATGGAGTTTAATGAACTCATTAAACGGAGTTAATGGGGCGTGGCGAGGGGTGCCAGCACAGCAAGCAACGAAGTGAGCACGTGAAAATTCAAGAAGAACAAAGAAAGGGTTCCTTCTCAGTATTAGAAAGGAAAGAGCCTCTCAATGGCCGTAGCACTGACGGACGAACAGATGGACGAGGTAGTGAGACGCCTCACCGAGCAACTAGGGCCTAGGGTAGCGCGCCCGGCCCCGGCTGACGAAGGAGATCCAGAAAGAGGTGAGCAAACGTAGGGGAGAAGGTTTATAAGTGGTTTGTCTGGGGTTAGAGATGGAGAGACGTGAAACAGGGTGTTAGCCAAGGGAAGAGTTTGGTCAAAAAAAAAAAAGCCTGAACTAGCCCAAGAACAGAGGGCTTTGAGTGGTGAGAGAGCAAGGAAGGAAGGAGGGAGGGCCAGGGCCCAAAAAGAGGGAATAGAAGGAACTGGAATGAAAAGGCAGTGGGGGGGAGACCCATACCCGGGGCAGAGGGCCCATGGTAAGAGCATAGGGCTCAAAGTAAATAGGAGGCGGTGGCACCGGGCCCCGTAGAATGGACTTAGGGCCAGATGCAATGGGGGCGCAGGGCCCACATTGGGGGGAGGGGGGCACAGGGCCCCACTGTAGAGGCATAGGGCCTGATGGGCAGAGTAAAAAAAAAAAAAAAGAAAAGAAAATGGGGGATTTATAAAGAGAGCTGGGGGAAAGGAAGGCTAAGGAGGAGTGGGGTAGGAACAACCCAAGAGAGTTCTTTTCTATTTGTGGGTGTGTATATATGTGGTTATGTGTCCATGTACTTCTGTAGTCCCAGATGGTCTCCATCTTCCACCGTTGGGAGGAGAGGGCGGGGGAGACGGGGACGGGGGCACAGGGCCCACCAAAAAAGATTCCGACTTCATTCCGATAGCAGAAGGAATCCAACCTCTGACGAGCAAAGTCG